CAGATGGTGTGACAAATGCAAACATAAGACGAGCAAGCCTAGCAAGTCCGCTAGGGCATTGAGCATGCGCTCGCCTGGTCGAGGGAGGATGCGAACGAAACGAGAACTGAACGAAACGTTCTACTCCTCCTCATGCTCCTCGTCCGACCGCCCCCCTGCTGCCCAGCCGAGGCTACCAAATGTCCGATTCGGACCTGTCGCAAATAGTTGCCGCGTTGGACGGCACGGGCAGCCAGCGCATCGGCTACAAGGAGAGGGTTCAGGGGAGAGGAGGAGGAGGAGGAGGAGGAGGAGCAGAAGGGAAGCCCCGACCTCCTCGCGCCGTGAACACACAACAAAAACACGACGGGATACTTTTTGGGCAGTTCGCGACAGCCTGGGCCATCGCTGGGCTCAGGGAACGTCAAGAAAAACGACCCGGGACGAAAAGGTCGGTCCTGGGGAAGAGGTCGAGTCCTCTGGGGATCCACGCTGTGTAAGAATTGCGACGTCGGTGAGGGAGGGGGGTCAAGATCCGAAGGTTTTCATGGGTTTTTGACTGTTTGGGTTTTCGGGGCCCGGAGCATTTCTCTCTTCTACTCCGCTGGTGGTGTGACGGCACAGTCGCGATTGGACATGGAAGAGGATGTCAACACATTAGTTGCACCCAGCTCTGCGCGTGAAAGTGGACAGAAACAACAGGACGAGCAGGAGCAGGGAGGAGCAGGAGAAAAGCAGAGTAGGGAGAAGCAGAAGGAGAGAAGGCGGAGGAGAGGAGGAAGGAAGGAAGGAGAAAGGATCAGTAGGGAGCAAGAGAGGAAAGAAGGAAGGAGGAGAGGAAGGAAGGAAGGAGCAGTAGGGAGCAGGAGGAAGGAAGGAGGGACGAGGGAGGAGCAGAATAGAACCAGAAGGCGGAGGAGACGGGCCCGCGGCGGCGGGAAACGAGCAATCCGACCCCGCTGGCAGGCGCGCGCCCGCGCCCGTCGTAGGCAAGGAGCGCGAGAGTAAGGGGGAAGGAGGTGTCGGGGAGGAGCGGAGATGAGAATAAGCAGAGTTGTATTCGTCCTCCCTCTCCCTCTCTCTCGCTCGCCCTCCCCTCGCCGCCTCTCTCCCCCTACTCGACTCTTCTCCTGCGTTTCTATCCCCCTCTTCCTCCTCGCCTCCCGCCACCCCCTCCTCCTCCCTCGTCCCCTCTCTTCCCTCGGCTCCTCCCTCCCCCTGCTGGGCGGGGGTTGGGCGGGGGCCTCCCGCGCAGGGCGCATGCCGCGTGGGACACGCATCGACCCCCGACGGCCCACTCGCATCACCGACAGGGGCCCGATGGCCCGCTCGACTCACGGGCGCGTCGTCTCGCCGTCGGGGGTGTCGAGAGAGCAGGGAGCCCCGACATGCTCGCGTCAGGACGGGAGGTTTCTCGCTATCTTCGGCCCCGGGGGGCCCTCGCGGGGCCCCGGGACTGTCAAAAAACGAGTCGGGATGAGAACGCGGTTTCGGGGAAAGGGTCGGGACTTCAGGGATTCCGTCCTGACAAAAATCAGGACGTCGCATGAATGGGAGCGGTACCCATACCGCCACCCTTGGCCCATTTTCGCCCTTTTGGGCCTCCGGGAGACCTTCGTCGCCACCGCTAGATTCACCTCGAGATCTTGGTCAGAACGCACCCCAGGAGAGGTTTGGGGGAGTAGCAGTATCGGTAACTCTTGGGTTCCAGACATCTGTTGGCAATGTATTACCGAGTCGATGTTCACCCCACCCACCACCACAGGAGGGGCGGCTTTCGCTCCCCGGGCGACGAACGACGAACCACAATGTGTCGCTGTTGCGTCCTCACAGAGGCACACGCCGCTGCAATAACTCATGGTCATGTTCGGACGAGGCCAGGACGAGGATAACTCCGTTCCAGAGCGGTCCGGAACGCTCTGAGAAGGCCGCGGCACTTGAGACATTCTCCAGAGCCGCCTGGTCTAAGAGATTCCCAAGGATATATCCCCTCAGATCTTGATCCTCGTCCTGGCTGCGTCTTACTCAGCCACGCGCAGAGGAGGGGTGTGAGGGGGAGGGGGAACGGCTGCGCGGAAGCACCCCTGCTTCCTAGAGGGCGTGGGCCTCATCTATAGATGTAAGGCCGGCGCCTTCTACGAAGCAGCCTCCTCCTAAGAAGCCCTCCCCCCTCCCTCCACCCCCTCGTGCGCACCGCCAGCTTACATGCCAGGGCGCGCTGGTGGCCAGGCCAGCTGGCCGAGGGCCTGCACCAGCGGGGGGAGGGGGAGGCGGCCCGCCCCTCGAGGGAGGGGCGCGGCCCGCTCCTCGAGGCCGCGGGGGCGTCCGCCCCCCCCTCGCGGGGGCGAGGCTCGAGCCGCGGCCGCGCGGCGGCCGTGGCGGTGGCCACGGCGGCCGCGCGCGCCTGGGCGCTCGCGCGCGCAAGGGGGGGCGGGCCTCGGCGCGCGCCCGGCAGCCCAGAGGCGGTGTCGGCTCGGGACCCGCGCGAGCCCTTGGCGCGCCCCCGAGCGGCGCGCGCGCGCCCGCCATGGGGGCCGCGGCCGCGGCGGCGGCCGCCGGCCGGTGAGGAGGGGGGAAGGGAGACCCCCCAGCAGGGGGGGCCCCAAGGGGCGGGGAGGGGCCGCCTCCTCCTCCTCCTCCTCCTCCTCCTCCTCCTCCTCTGCCCTCGCGCCTGGCCCCACGCTGCTCTTGCTCCCCCCCGCCTCTCTCTCTCTCTCTTCGATTATCTCTCTCTCGCTCTCTTTCTTTTTTTTTTTTTTGTTTCTCTCTCTCTCTCTCTCTCTCTCTCCGCAGTTCCCCTCCTTCTCGCCCTGTGGATCTCCTCCCCCTCCCTCCCTGCTCCTGCTATGTGTGTTTGTCCTTCTCTTTCTCCTCCTCCTCCTCCTCCTCCTCCTCCTCCTGATTTCCAGAGTTCTGGACGGCATTGGTGCCTCCCATTCCTCCTCTTCCTCCTCCTCCTCTTCCTCCTCCCTTCCTCCTCCCTCCTCCTCCACATCCTTCTCCTTCTCCTCCTCCTTGGATCCCCCTCCTCCTTCTCCTCCTCCCTCTCCCCCTCCTCGTCGTCCTCCTCCTCCTCCCCATCTATCGAAGTCGCTTACGGCGAATCACCTCCACCCCATGCCTTTTAGGATGCCCCGATTTGGCAAAATGTTTCGCCACAGTTTGGCCACGCTATTGGACCGTACGGTCCCCCAGCCATTGTGCAAGCTCTTCGGCTAACACGTGGGGGAGGAAATGGGGGATGAGGAGAGGGAGGAACATGGAGGATTGAGGAGAAGGATGAGGAAACCTATTGGGAGTTTCTTGGGTCATTATTTGGGCGTCCTGGGAGCTTCTTGGGGGCCTCTTGGAGGCTTCTTGGGGGCTTTTTGGGTCTCTTGGGGATTTTGGGGGGCTTCTTGGGGGCCTCTTGATTTAGCAGTCAGACGGCGTTCCTGGCCCGACTGACGCCGTCGGAAGCCGACTTGGGAGCCTCTTGGGGCCCTCTCGGGGCGCTTCAGTGTCGTCTTGAAGGCTATCTTGGGCGTCTTGGAGGCCTCTTGAGCCGTCTTATGGCCCTTGAAGAGCCATCTTGGGAGCCTCTTGGGCTGTACTTGGACCGTTCTGGAGGCCCCTTGAGCGATCTTGGGGCTGTTTTGGGGGGCCTCTTGGGCCAGCGGAAGGCCGCGGTCAAGCACGTGCCAAAATCCTCCAACAACCGATTGAGAATCAATGGTTTGGCCTCTTCGGGCCCTCCTGGGGGGCCTTTGGAGGTCTCTTGGGCTGTCTTTGGGGCCTCTTGGGCGCTTCTTGGACCCTCTTTGGGCACTCTTAGGCCATCTTGAAAGTCCAGGAGAAATCTTGGGATCGTCTTGGAGGTCATCTTGGGGCTATCTTAGGCCCTCTTAAGCACTTTTAGACTTTCTTGGCGGTCTTGGAGGCATCTTGGGATCGTCTTGGAGGCCATCTTGGGGCTATCGTGGGCTCTCTTGGGGCCACCTTGCCCATCTGGGAGGTATCTTGGAGGCCATCTTGGGTCATCTTGGCTGTCTTGGAGGCGATCTGGGCAACGGGGGACCTTTTTTGTCGGCGCTCTCCAGGTGGCCGGCGGGTTGGGCCGAGACCCCATTTGGAGTTGTTTCGAAAAAAGAAAAAAACAATAACCACCCGGACTTCAACACGCCAGGCGCCCCTGTGATAAATCAACAGGTGGCGGTGGCGGATCGAATGGCCTTCGGCCCATCCGGCCACCGTGCAAGGGTTATGGATCTGAGGCCTCGTGGATGTTCGTTGGGATCTCGTCGATGCCTCTCGGGGGCCTCCTGAAGGCAGTTTTGAGGCCTTTGGGAGGCTGGTTTGGGGCCTCTTTTGGGCCTCTTTTGGGCCTCTTGGGGGCCTCTTGGGGCCTCTCGGGGCCTCCTGGGGGCTCCTGGGTGCATCTTGGGGCGGAAGGCTAGAATTTTCGGTTCGTATTCCTCGTCTTGAGGCCCTCTTTGGGCCCTCTTCGGCCATCTTGGGCGCCTCTTGTGGGCTTCCTGTGAAGGCCGTCTTGGGGGCCACTTCGGCTGTTTCGGATGCCTTTTGGGCGGTCTTCGGACCCTCTTGGCTAGTTTTGGGGCCCTCCTGGAGGCCTCGTCGGCGATCTTGGGGGCCTCTTGGGCTGTCTTTGAGCGTCGGGAAGCCGACAAGGCGAGACACTTGCGGAAAGTCTGAGATTTTAGCCCTTTGGGAGTGCTCCTGGAGTCCTCCTGGGACGTTTTGAAAACCTGTCGAGCCGTCTGGAAGCTACCCTGGCGCCTTGGACCGATAGTTCGGCGATTCGGGGCCCTCGAGGACCGTCTTGGGGGCCCGTTTGGGCACTCTTGCCGCGTCTCGGGTTTTTTCTGGGCCCCAAGACCGCATGGGGAGGATGCGTATCTGTGTGGGGACTCGCCCCCCGGGACCCACACCCCGATTTCTGTACTGTATACCGTGCGCCTGAAACATGAGAGCATAGTACTAGTATGCTCTTCTGCCCCCCCCTTCCGGCCCCCCCCCCGCACATGACCCGCGCCGGGCGCGCGTCCGTCGCCGCAGTGGTCGCGGCCGTGCGCGGCGCAACGGGCCGCTCGGGCGCCCGCGGCGCGTCGCGCCGCCTGGGCGACGCCGCCGACAGGCCGCTGGTCGTCGTCGTCGTCGTCATCGTCGTCGCTGTCGTTGTCGATGGTGTGGTCGTCGACGACGTCGTCGTCGTCGCAGACCTCCCTCGGCGGCCCTCGGCGGTCTTCAGCGGCCCTCTCGGCGGCCCTCTCGGAGGCCCCCGGAGACCTGCGGGGGCGGCGCGGGTGGTCGTCGTCGCCAGCGTCAGCGTTGTTGACAACATCGTCATCGTCATCATCGTGGACGCCTATCGTGGCGCGCGGCGCAGATGGCGTTTTGGCACACGGCTCGCGGCCGACCTCCCCTGCTGAAATGCTCTTGCACGGTGAGAAAGAGTTTCTGTGCCGCTGCTGTGCGCAGCAGGCCCAGATTCGAGCATAGCCCGAGGCGCTCTCGAGTCGAAGAGGGACGAGCTCCGGGCCAGTCGCCGCAACGCTGCCAGCGACAGGCAGCCTGTGCAAGCGGAAGAAGCAAGAGAGAAGCGGCCCTGGGCAGGGAGACGAGAGGTCCGATGCCAGACGACGGTGAAGAGATGCTTTCGGGGGGGGGTGCGGCACGCAGCAGCGCAATATGGGCGGTCATTCATCCACGCTTGCTCGTTGGCGTCGTTGCCGTCATTGAAACATTTGATCTAATCCCTCAATTTCTCCGTGTCGGCAGAAAAATAGATGTCATCGGCACCGTGCGCTGTTTTCTGTTCATCGGCATCGTGGGCTGTTGACTAGCAGCAGACGGCGTCGGAGGTATTCGGGTCGCGGTCGCGGTGATCGTGATGGTCGCCGTCGGACGTCGGCGTTGTTGCTGCTCGTCGCTGTGAACGCCCACGTCGACGTCGTCGTCCTCGCCGTCGTCGAGGCTTGTTGCTCCTGTCGACGTGTCGTCCCGACCTCTTCCTCCGGGGCCAGGATCTGCACAGACCCGCCTCCTGGGCAGCCGATCCTCCCGTGCCCTGGGAGGCGGTGGATGCGCGTAGATTCGGGCCCCGTGCGCGGCCCGGGCGTATATCAATATCCACCCTAGGAAGTAATGTAAAAGTAATGCCAAAAGGAAGTAGTGTAATATGGGCCCCTATGTGGCCCACTCCTACTGGAATGTAAGAAGGAAGTATGGTAAAAGGAATTCATGCCAAAAGGAAGTAATGCAATATAAGAAATTACTTCCTAGGGGCCCATCCATGTGGTCCCCTAGGAAGTAATGCAACAAGTCCCTGCCTCGCGCATGCGGCGCTTGGGAGACGTCGAGGCGGCCAGGCCTGTTGCCCCTGCGTGGCTTCCGGCGGCCAGGTTCGGTCCTCGAGATCGTCGCAGAACGGCTCGGGGCAAGAGGCTGGCCGGAGAGGTCCAGGCCCGCGCAGCAAAGATATTCGGAGCGCCGGATGCGTGGGTCTTCCCCTTTGCGTGAGTAGTCTCGCGGATCTCGGAATCCTAGTCTCCGTCCAGGCACATACTCGCGCTTGTTGCCATGTTCCTACTCCTCCTCCTCCTCCTCCTCCTCCTCCTCATCCTCTGTATCATCCTCCTTGTCAGCACGCTTCCCTGCTACCCCTGTTTCCCCCTCTCTCCATCCTCCACTTCTCCTTCCGTTCTTCCCAACCCATCCCTCCGCTCCTCCTCTTGCTTCGCCCTTTCTTTCCTGCTCTTCGCTCCTTTCTGTTCTCGCTCCCTCCCCGTGTTCTTCGTCTTCCTCGCTCCTCTCTTCCCCTCGTCTCCCTTCCCTTTCCCTTCCTCCTTTTTGTGGGCATCTTGCGCAGGCTTGTCACCTTGCGCTTCCAGCTGGGGGTCGGCAGCGGCCTGGGCGGAGTGTTATGCGCGTCTTACTTCTACGGCAAGCGCATCGGCGCCACACAAGGCCCGAGCAACTGAGGAGCCGAGGGCTGGTCGTGCCAAGCGGCGGAGGATGTAGGGATGCTTGAACGGGGAGGGGGGGCGGGGTCGGAGGAGAGAGGGCAGGATGCGCAGGGGCAGGGAAATGAGCTTTAACGAGGAGGAGGAGGAGGAGGAGGAGGAGGAGGAGGAGGATCAGAGCAGTGCATAGACCTATCTATTAATACATATATAGATATATATATATATATATATATATACATGTGTATATATATATATATATGTGTGTATACATGCACATGCATACTACGACCCATATGCATATACATAGATGGGGAGGGGGCCGAGGAGGCCCAGGGAGCCCTTGCTTGAGTACCCGGCCTCGGGTCCCTTCCCTGGGCGGCTCTTGGTACTCCAGGGCGCATGCGGCAGGCTCTCAGATGGCTCCCGGGCGGCCCGAGGTCGCCGACATATGGCCTTAAGACGGCCTCAAGATGGCCCCCAGGACGGCCCCGGGAGGCCCCCGAAAAGCCCCCCGAGAGGATTCCCAAGAGGGCCTCAGAAGGCACAAAGGGTCCCGTTGCCTTGGGTAAACTTAGATGTTTAGAGTACTCGTCTCAGGAGCTGTCTGAGCATCCAAAACGGCCCGCGAGGCTTCCAAGACCGCCCCAAGACGGCCCAAGAGGCTCCCTACAGGGCAATCCTTCGGCCCCAAGGCGCCCTCAGGGGGTCCCAGGAAGTCCCCCCAAAATGCCCCCCAGAGGCGCCCAGAAGCCCCGAATTGGCTCCCAGGAGGCCCCCAAGAGGCCCCCGGGAGACCCCCAAGAGCCCCCCCCCAGACGCCCTGAGGCACTCATGGCGATCCCCAAGCTTCCAGAGAGGAGAAGCGATGAACGGCCGTCCTAACGCGATATCGGGCCGTATTCGAGCTCAAGGTGCCCCCATCCATCATGGCCCAACAGTTTCCAGAAACGCCATCTATAATACATACACAGATATGCACACACATATATGTATATATATATATATGTATGTACATAGATATGCATCCGTATGCATGTATTTATGTTTGTACGTCTACGTGCACACATACCTACACACCTACACACATACATATGTACATACATACATACATACATACATACATACATACATACATACATACATACATACATACATACATACATGCATACATACATACATACATACATGCATGCATACATACATACATACAAACTTACTTACATACAACATACATACATATATACATACATACACATATACATACATACGTACGTACTTACATACGTACGTACGTACGTACATCCAGCCATGCGTACATACAATAAATTCGTGCATATATAACTACAAACACATACATGCATGCATGCATACATACATGCATGCATACCTATAGACATGCATACATGTATACAGGCATGAAACCATGCGTACATTAATGCACGCCTACATACATTCCTACGCATGTACACACATGCAGATACATACATACATCCATACACACATACATACACATATACATACATACGTACATACATGCACACATACATACAGATCTTCCTATCTTCATATAGAAATACATATGTACACACATGCATGCCCATACATACATGCATACATTCATATACACAAGCAACCATAATTTTAGCCATGCAAGCATGTCAGCAATCATGCACGCATGCAGTCATACCGATACTCGTACATTCAACTTCACATCCATACATCCATCCATCCATACATGCACACTTACATGCATACATGTATGCATGTCTGCTTACATACATTCACACAAAACACATGCATATACATACATATATATGCACACGTACATACGTACACACATACATATACACATTCAGACGTGCATGTATACATTCATGCACACATACATGCACACGCATCAAGCTGTACGCATACATACATGCAGACATGCATGCGTGAATGCAGGTATATATACATACATACATACGGACGTACATACACTCATTTTACGCACATAACACATGCATGCACCGATACATGCATACACACATTGATGTCCGATCGTATACTTACGTGTGCGCATGCACATGCACGCACTCACACGCATACATACATATCTATAGATATATACACCTACCTGGGGAAGGACATTGGGGCCCAAACGCCACGGTCAACCCCCACTCTGGGTTCCCCCCTAAGGCCGCCGTCGCGCTTGTCCCCCCTCCATCCTATGTTCCATAGTATCCTGCTCAGCAGCGGGGGAGTCTTCAGCGGGTCACTCAGTATGCCAATTGCGCAGGGGCGTGTCAGGTTGCTGGGCCGACTTGCAGGTGAGCTCTGCTTGCGAACAGCATCGCCTCTGCTTGCAAAGGCCGTTTTGCTCTCGGATTGACCGACTACATTCGCAGGTGACGTTGGCCCGTTGTCATGGCGGCGGTTTCCGCTCATTGAAACTCAGGATCTGGTCGCTCGTATACATGTTTGACCCCTTCGGGGGTTTCCTGGAGGCCACCAAAAAAGCGACCAAGGCCGAAGACGCCCGAACATTGTTTCAAAACGGTTCAAGAGGCCCCGAATACGTCGAAGGTTCCACGATGGACCCCGAGAGGGCTTCAGGGGGTCAGATTTGCTTCATCCCTTCAGGGCACGGTGCATGTATGGCATATTCGCACTTTGGGTCTTAACAGCGCCCAAAACGGCCCAAGAGGCCCCACATATCGCCCTAAGACGGCCCAAGCGGCCTCCAAGAGAGCCGCAGGACGGCCCAAGAGAGCCCCAAATTTGCGTGACGGGTCTGCCGACATGGGCGGGGGATCGTTGTACGAACCGTGTTTTTGGGCGTTCAGGTAGCGCTCCTTGTAGGCACGATCCGCGTGATGGGGTGTGCCACAATTTCCAGGGGGGCGCAGTGTGAATGTTGCCTTTGGGGCCGTAGGTGGGCCACGATCCATGTATGAGGTGTGCCGAAGTAGACGGGACGGAACCCTTCGCGGGCCACGATCCGTCTGAGGAAGGGACGGGAGGGACGTTATGAAGCTTCACCCTGGTGCCGCACATGCAGCTATCTGCGGGGCACGATCCAAGTGAGGGGCATGCCATTATGCGAAGCTTGTCTCTGGGGACGTAGGTGGAGCTTCATGTGGGGCGCGACTCCTGTGAGGGGTGTGCCAGCGAGGGCGGGGGAACGCTAGTCAAGCTTGTCTTTGGGCGCAGGAGGAGCTCCTGGAGGGCACGACCCGTGCGACAATCGATGTCATACCGTTTAACAAGTAGAGCTTGCCAGAACCTAAGCACGCGCGAAGCGCACGCGTGGTTCTAGCGTGCATATGTATGTATATACACACATATGTGGGGGAAACTGTGGGGAAGAGAAAACAAGGAGGGGGAGGGGGAGAACGAGGGAAGCTGGAAACGAAGGGACGAAGGAATGAGCGAAGGAGGGCGGTGCAAAAGAGGAGGTGGAGGAGGATTCGGAGGGGGGGTGGGGCATAACTGGGCCCTGCGTTTGTAAGGTTCCTCTGCATCACGGCCTTCGCCCCCTCCCTCCTCTCCCTTTCTCTGCTTCTCTTTCGCATCGTTCTGCGTGCAGGCGTAGGGTGTGAGCGAAGCAGAGCGATGAGCAGGACAGTGGTCAGCAGCAGGGGACACATGAATAGGATCTAAATGCGGATGACAAGCAGCAGGAACATCCGCATGGGCATGCGATGCGTCAGCAGATAGGGCCAGGACCATGTGTAAGAGCACGAGCACGACGAGAATGGGTAAGTGCAAGGTTCCGAAAGGGAGGATGAGTGAATGGGGAAGGATGGTGGGCATAAGAGATGGAGGGATGCGGAACGGGAGAGGGAAGTGACAGTGCGGATGAACTTGCGAGGAAGGCGATAGGCAGCATGGTGGAGGAGTTGGCATATGCGAAATGGGGAGGACAAAGGGGAGACGGGCAAGTTCCGCAGGTGCGCTCGCGCCACATCCGACATCATCTCCCTCCCACCCATCCCTGCACATTGCGTTGAATCCTTTCCTATCCACCGGCGGGGGTTTCATGGAGGACGGCAGGGACAGAAGAGCAAAAGGCAGGCTGCCGAAGCGTCCGCACAAGAGGTGGATATACGACATTTGCCGCTAACCTCGAGCAAACGGATTCGACGCAAGACATGACGTTTGGTTTCTTTCGTCTGCCCTTTGTTGTTGAGCAGTGGTCTGCATTCGATGACGGATTCCTCGACGTTGCCAAGGAGCGCCACGGCGCTGCGCGCCCATCCCCATAGCCATAGTCGGGGGAGCTTTGCTGAGGCGGCGCCCTCCTCCTCCTCCTCCTCCTCCTCCTCCTCCTCCTCTTCCTCCTCCTCCTCCTCCTCCTCTTCCTCCTCCTCCTCCTCCTTCCCCTCCCCCTCCCCCTCCCCCTCCCCCTCCTCCCCCTCCCCCCCCCCCCTCCTCCTCCTCCTCCTCCTCCTCCTCCTCCTCCTCCTCCTCTCCTCCTCCTCCTCCTCCTCCTCCTCCACCTCCTCCTCCTCCTCCTCCTTCTCCTCCCCCTCCCCTCCCCCCTCCTCCCCCCCCTCCCCCTCCTCCTCCCCCTCCCCTCCCCCTCCCCCTCCACCTCCACCTCCTCCCCATTCTCCCTCTCCTCCTCCTCCTCCTCCTCCGCCCGCCAGACGACAGCGGCCCCTGCCACCCCGAGATGGCGTGGGCGTCTGACGTGCGCGGCCCGCTCGCTGGGATCTCCACCAGAGCGTTCGCCGTCGGGCCGCTGTGCGGGTGTTGCGGCGCCCCCCGGGGGGGGGGGCTCGGGAGGAGCGAGGGGACGGACGAGGAGGGGCCCCGAGAGCCTGGCGTCGCAACCTTTCCGAGCCGGGCGTTCTCGCGTAAATCTCTGACCCTGCGGCACCCTCGCGCCTCGATCCGGCTCGAAAAGCAGCTTAGGAAAACGGGATTTGGGGCCCTGGTCGTGATTTCGCGACGGTGGATCTCAGGGGACGGGTGGAGCGAGGAGGGCGGGGGGGGGGAGTGCGAGAAAAAGGAGGGGGTGGAAGGGAGGGGGGGGCAGGGCATGTGGAACGAGGAGCGGAGGGGGGAGTCGGCTGGGAACGAGGAGAACGGGGGGACAGTGGGGACAGGGGGGGGGAGGGAGAGGGGGGGGGGAGATCAGCCACGCAGCAGAGGGGGTAGGGGGAAGGGGGGAAGGCTTCTTAGAAGCACCCCTGCTCCTCAGAAGGCGCGGGCCTTGCCTGTAAATGCAGGGCCGGCGCCTTCTATCAGAAGCAGCCTCCTGAGGAGCCGCCCCCCCCTCTCCCATTGCCCCCATCGTGCGCGCCGTCAAGGATGATGAACGACGGGGGAGATGATGGGTGAAGCTGGAGAAAGAGGGGGTGAAGCTGGAGGAGGAGGAGGAGGAGGAGGAGGAGGAGGAGGAGGAGGAGGAGGAGGAGGAGGAGGGCTCTGCGGGGAGGGCTGCCCCGTCCCGCCCCGAGGCTCGGCGGCGCTCGCCACGCTGATCTCCGCCCGGTTTCCTGGGCGGGTGGCCAGCGTGGCGATGAACCATCGCTTGCACTCGGCGCTCTGGGCGGGGGTCCGCCACAAGAATATCAACTCGGGGAACGAACAATGACATAAACATAAAAACTCTGAGGTCCGCGCGGATTTCTCGGATCCGCGCCTGTGCCCCCCTGGCGTTGCCTCCAGCGCCGCCACTGGCGCGCTCCGCGCGCCAGGGAGGGGGGTCCAGCGCGAATCCGAGAAATGCGCGCGGACCTCAGAGTTTTTATGTTTATGTCATTGTTCGTTCCCCTAAAAACACAGATACCCTCCAATGAATTGCTCTTGGGCCTCAGGGGAGGGGGGCGGTGCATCGATCACCATAGAGAGCCAGCCACTTTCAATGCCGCATCCCCCCCCCTGACGGTACATGCGAAGTTCGTCGGAGGGCGCGTGTGTATGTGTGTATATATATATATATATGTATATGTACGTTTGTTCGTGGCGGAGAGAGAGTGGTGCAGTCAGGATGCTGGGGAGGGCCGATTTGGGGCTCGGAGGGGGATGTGATCTTCGAGCCGCTCTGCCTGTCCGGGTCGGGGGGCTCATTCGTGTCCGATGCTCGTCGCGACCAGGACAGGCCCGTTCGTCCCCTGTGGTGGCACGATGGTTAGAGCTACTCCCCACGGAGGGAGTCGAAGAAATGGCAACCGCGTAATCGTGAAGCTTCGGAGGTCAGCGCGGACGCTTGCGTCGGCGCCGGGCCCCGCCCCTCCCCCCCCCGGGGCGGCGCCTGCGGCGCCGCCCCCGTACGCGCTGGGCCCCCCGCGGGCCTTGGGGCCGCCAAGAAGCGGCTCCTGGGGGAGAAGCTGGTGGCGCGGGAGCCCCCCAGGGTCCAGGGCCCGTTTCGACCAAGACCTCGTTCCGATGCCAAGAAGGGGTGGGCGAGGGCACGGGATGCGGTGTAGACGCTCTGGTCGGCGTTTTTGTTACCCTTTGGTGGCCTGCGGCAGGCCCTTCGTCGCCACAGCTGGATTCCCTTGCGAAGTTTTGCCGAGCAGAGCGCACCTCGCCAGGTGTTCAGGGGCGGATTGTTCGAGGTCGCCGTGCAGGAGGACCCTGCAAGGTCCGGAATAGTCCAGGAGGCCCCAGGAGGCCCCTGAATGGCACCGGGTGGGCGTGCGCAGGAAGGCTCAGGACGCCCCAGGAGGGCCCAGGAGGAGGGGGGGCGGGGGCATAGGAGGAGGAGGTGGGTGCGAGAGGAAAATGGGAGACGAGGACAGGGAAGGAGGGGCTTTGGGATGGGGAGGGGGCAAGGGGGGAGGGGGCGAAGTGGGAGGGGCGGAGGGAGGAACGGGGACGGGGGAGGAAGCGAGGGAGGGAAGCAGGAGCAGATGGCCAGTGATGGATTAATGGATGAGTGGAGTCGCGTTTCCCTCCGCCTTCCCAAGCCCCCGTCCTCCCCAGCCTCCTCCCTCGCCGCATTGCCCAGCCCCTCCTGATCTCCGCTCCCCCCCCCTCCCCTCCCTCCCCTGCTTCCACCGCTGAGTTTTCTCTTCTCCCTCCATTAACGCCAGTCTCTCCCCCTCCCCCGTTGCCCCCCCCCCCTCCCTAGCCTCATCACTACCTCACTTCATCCCACGTCTCGTCCCTCAATCCGCCCTTCCCTCCCCCCCCTCACCCTTTGTGTTCGTTATCTGCTTTCCTCACCCCGTCAGTGGCGGGGAAGCCGGCATCGTTTGGCAGCGGAGGTGATGCGGAGCAGGCAAAAGAAGGAATGGTTAGGCGGAGGTCGTTGAGGAGCGGGGGCATGACGAGGAGGAAGAGGGGGAGGATGAGGGGATGAGGGGATGTGGGAATGATGGGGATGCCGATTCGGATGGTGAAGCAAGATGATGATGATGATGATGTTGCTGATGCTGACGACGATTATGATTGAGAATCAGGATGTGGATGAGGATGAGGATGAGTCTGGTGACGATGCGGATGTTGTAGATGCTGCTGATTACGGTATTGATCATGATTATGTTGATGCTGATAATGATGTTGATGCTAATGCTGGTGATGGTGCCGCTGCTGCTGATGATACTGGTGATCAGGATGACGACTATGAGTAAACATGTGATGCTGATGAATCTGATAATGCATAGGTTGCTGATGATGCCGATGATGCTGATGATCATGATGATGTTGATATGATGATGCTGATGATAATGGTGGTTGTGTTGATGGAGATGATGGTGATGATGATCGAGGTTGTGGTGACGGTGGTGGTGATGGTGATGATGCCAGTGACTATTTTGAGTGTATGGTGATGGTTACGATGCGGATGACGGTGATGAAGATCGTGATGGTGATGTCAATGAAGCGAATGGACATGATCATAGTGATTACGAAGGTGATGATGATGATGCTGATGACGATGATGATGATGATGCTGCTGCTGATGATGATGCTGATGATGATGATGATGATGATGATGATGATGATGATGATGATGGTGATGGTGATGGTGACTGTGATGGTGGTGGTGGTGGTGATGATGATGATGATGAGGAGGAGGAGGAGGAGGAGGAGGAGGTGGAGGAGGAGGAGAGGGAATAGGAGGAGGATAATAATAAAGAAGAGCAGCCTCCAGGTTTTGGGCTGGCCGCTGGCCATCCTGATGGCGTTCCGCTTCCAGGCGGCGCACGACCGGTGGTGGAGCTCGCGCGAGCATGTGGAGAAGCTGGCATCCGGCATTGTGGGCGTGGCTCTGCTTGCCTCGACCTGTGCGGACGACCCGAAGTTGCGCATGAGCAGGTCGCGGAAGGAGGCCCTTTCCTCACGAGCTACGGGCAAAGCGAGGAGCAGAAATCCAGGGTCGAGATTCTGGCGGCCGTTTTCCTCGGTTGGCGGCAGTTTTCGTCGCCTTCGCGGGCCCCAGGACTGCCAGAAATGCATGGGGTATTAAAAATGTGCCAGGACGGATCTTTGGACGGGCCCTGGGGCCGATGTCGCATGCCTCTCATCGAACATATCTATGTCCATGCCCTCCTCGACGGCGAGAGGACGACGATGGCGGGGGGGAGGGAGTCTGATTCCCAGGTGCTTTCCCGCAGGCAAGCCCCGAGCGGCCCCGCAACGCAGCTGGCCGTCTTAGAATCGGAGGGGGTCTCGGGGGTACCCCCGCCCGGGGGCTACTCCTGGCGTCCATGCCCGAGATGGGTCCAGATCATGATGGGCCTGTTTTCCACCACCACCACCATAAGTTGGAGGAGGAGGAGAAGGAGAAAGAGGAAGAGGAGGAGGAGGAGGAGGAGGACGACTAAGAGAAGGAGGAGGACGAAGAGACGGAGGAGGAGGAGGAGGAGGAGGAGGAGGACCCCCATCCCCCTCCAACTTATGGTGGTGGTGATGGAAAACAGGCCCATCAGATCACTCGGCCAGTCGAAGGTTGCGAAGCGTCGGGTGGGGGTCGCCATGCCCGTTGTTGCAGATGCCCTCGCCCGCTTCGCAGTCTTCCTGGGGGGGGGGGCCAGGGGCCCGAGGCCACGCCCTGGCTCGCCCCGAGTGGCCCCGTCCAAGCGAGCTTCGGCTCAGAGCTTCGCGGCCGTGCTCCGTCTTTTCAGACCCCCCCAGGTGGGGTCCGATGCGCGGTTTCCTTGGGGGCCGCAGGCGACCCGAGGAGGAGGAGGAGGGGGAGGAGGAGAAGGAAGAGGTGGAGGAGGAGGACGAGAGGGAGGAGGAGGAGGTGGAGGAGGGGTTTAGGAGGAGGTGGAGGAGAGGGAGTCGGAGGAGGTGGAGGAAGGATGAGGAGGTGGAGGAGGGAGGAGGAGGAGGAGGAGGAGGAGGAGGAGGAGGACAAGGCATTGGGGCTTGGGTGGTCGACCGCAGGGGTGGTCAGACCGTAGGAGAGTTCCAGCCTTTAGCGTGTTCACACCGCTATGTCCACATTTCTCCCAGTCCGCATACGGTGACCTCCGTCTCTTCACCGCGGCAAAGGGCGAACCAGTTCGGCACCGCCACCAGAGGGCCGCCAGACGCGCGGCAAGGACATTGGTCACAGTCCAAAAGGCAGTCCAGCTTCTGAGCGATCACCACAGTTGTCAAATTCCACCTCACAGCTGGACGCGCGTATGCGGGAAGCATGTGCCGACGAAAGCATGGGAATGCTTTTGTGGATGCCGCTACGATCATCGACCCAACGCAGGCACATCGAGACCAGCCAGACGGGATCGTACGCCCAGCATGCCGAGAGGATCATCGATTCGCGCCCAGCAGCACAGCTCTGCATCCAAGAAACATGGGGAGCTTTTGGCTAGGCAGGCCCAGAGCCTGATCGCGAGAATGGTCCCAGCCCCGAGGTCTGAGGCTACTACCATGGTGGAGACGCACCAAAAACCGCCACAGGGCCCGAAGGCGCTGACGGAGTATAGGAAGTGGGTCCAACAGAGGATGACGGACTTAGCTAAGCTCGCCATCGCGGCCACCAAGGCCAACAATAATGCATATTCGATCAACAAATATATAACAGTTTTGAAGTACATGGTACATATGACGGAGCCACTGTCCGTTCAGATCACCAAGCTAGGGAAGGATGGTGAAGTATTGCGCAGCACGAGGTCGAGAATGGCAATGCTCCGCGACCAAGATGCTGAGATCCATCAGTCAACTGATCAGATAACAACATTTCTCGACGATATCGAACAAGAAGAGCAGGAGCACTAGCATTACAAATGTACAGCACGCGGCCATGGAGGATGATACCCTTGAGGCGGCCATGCGCAAGCCTTCGAGGTGTCACCCAGCAGGAGCGGCCGCTCCTGCACAGGCTCCTGTGACCCCCCAGCAGCTGCACAGGCAGCTCAGAGCGACGAGATGAAATCTATGAAGCAGCAGCTCCAGCAGGTGCAGTCGAGCTTGCTCAATATCGTGAAGGTTATGCAAGATCAGCAGCTGCACTGTAGCAGCTCTCTTGGCCAGTACACAGCGCTGCAGCAGCGTGTTCAGCAACAGCAACACGTTAATGCGATGGGACATCCAGCTGTGGGGTTTATTGTGCCGGGCCCATAGGGCCCACGCCTACACCAAGCTGGCCAGCGGCGAGCTCGACGGGATAAACATGCGAGCGTACTCAGATGGGTATCTTCCGCAGATGCAGGCCATGCAGCAGCATCAGCAGCAGCAGCGCCATCAGATGCAGCAGCAGCTGTTCAAGCCAGATCAGCCAGCAAAACAACCGCGACAGGCTCCAGCAGGGGCGGCGCCAGTTACGCCGCTCGCCAAGCCCCCTGCCTGCGCTTCACCTACCTCGGTGCCCGCTGCCCAGAGAGCGCCTCCCACGCCGTTGTCGCAGCAGATACTAGGCGCGGACGCGCCAGTCGCTGCTGCGGGCGAGGGCGCGCCGGTAGCACCTACGCCCAAGTGGTAGTCCAGTAATCTCGCCACAGCCAGAGTCCGCGATTCGCATCCCGATTCCAGACTTAGCCGCGGCAATATGGAAGCGCATCACACATCAGGAAGGAGATAGGAGAGAAGCCGACGCCAGTGGTGGACCTAGCCCTGCTGGCAGCCAGGCAGCCGCTCAACGTGAGTTGCACCCAGGAGGGCCCGTGCATGAAGGGGCCTCAGTACAGCGTGACTGGGGGGGTGGAGGGCAAGCCCATCGGCGTGAAAACACAGGACTCGGACCAGCTCACGGGCTCCCAGGTCCAGGAAGAAGTCGACCGCGCAGACCGAGCCTGCGCGGCAGCCCCCACCCCAATGGCAGAAGCAGTGACCCCCCGGGGCGCACGCAGCCCACCTCGCTAGGGGGCGCGCTCGGCAGAAGCTTCTCAGGCCCACGAGCTCCAGGAGGCCCAGGGGCTGTCTAGGGCAAGGGAACAGGCGCAAGGCAGTCAAGTGGGGGCCCAAATCATTCTGGCCAGAGACCCCCTGGAGTCATCGCAGAATTTTCGACCGCCCCTAAAGTCGGCTTTAAAGTACGTGGGCCCTGAGCGCCCAGGCGTTACGCATGAGCACCTCAACGTTTACGTTTGCTTGAGGGCTACCCCTGGGGAGCCTGGGGGCCCAACCTCAACCGCGGCTGAGGGCGCGCTAGCTCATATTTTTCCCAAGAGCGGAGCTGGGGCAGGGCGGCGCACAGGGGCGGTTGCAGAGTGTTCTCCTCGCAGCACCCATGCGCTGCGTTCAGAATGCCACCTTGGACAGCGCCGAGGATCGACCGCGCCGCGGCCCCCCCCCCCCCCCCCGAGCTTGCCCGGGGAACGAGCTAATCAGGAGGGGACTTCATTCGACGCCCACAGAGGCGTTAGCAACCAGCTTCCTTTTTTCGCTCGCAGCACTGGCAGCGGCAACCAGCGCGCGCTGCCCGAGCCAGTCGCGGGAGGGGGGGAGAGGTGATGGAGGGATATGGCGGGGGGGGGGGGCGCTATCCCCCTGCCGCTCGAGCGCCGGAACACCTCGGCCAACGCAGCACGTTAATTTCGAGGGGGCGAGGGGGGGTGAGTTTGAGGGGCCGCGGACATGCATCCGACGGTCAAACAGAAAACATCTCTAGCGCGCCTAAGAGGCCGCCTGCTCACTCTGCAGCGAGCCGCGAGCGCGGCGTAGCCTCGCGAGACGGCGCGCCCTCGCTGGCCGGCCCTTGCATCCCGTCGGCTTCGCCAGGGCACGGCTCCAATACCCTTGGGGCTAGCAGCGAGGGACAGGCTGTCGGTGACAACAGGGAGGAGGAGGGGATTCACAATACAGCTGCCGCTGAGGGCCCTTTCCCTGCATCTTCGATTCGAAGAGCGCGCCCGACTTCGCAACCTCCTCGCGCGCCCCAGAGGTGGGAAGGCTGCTGCGCCACCCACCCCACATGCCGCTCTCGTTTTTTTGTTGCCCCCGAAGGCGGTCTGAGGCCCCCCCTCCGCCCCCCCCCCCCCCCCCCCTTCTCGAGAGCGCGACTCAAGTCAGACCTCAGGTCGTCTTGATAACCCGCGCGCGAGTGGCGCTAGCGCGCTAACCTCCACTGACGAAGCCCACGCGGTCACGCGCCCCCGCCCTCAACGCAAGTCACTGAGAGATATTATATCGGAACGCCAGGTTGCCATGCCAGCCTAGATGCTACCGTCGACCTAGAGTCACTCCCACCATTAAGCTAGGCTTGCAGTCCAGATTTGCCCTCCCCGCGAGATGAGGCTTGGGCGTCCATCAGTTTTTTTTTGTCTCTCGCACACTGCGATGCTGAGGACGCAGCATGGGGGCATGCTGGCCATTGGCTGCGACTCAAGTGGCTTCGCCTATCTAGGAAGGTGGACTGGCAAGGTGGCAAATGCGTTCCACCCTCCAGCCACGACGCCAGGTTACGACAGCACAGATACCAAGTTCGTTGCTGTATTTTGGTATCTGCGCTTTCTTGTTCAGTCCAACTTAGGTCCCAGTCACACCTGGGGCGGGCTCGCTAAATGCCGTGCGCGCCCTCAACGGCATATTCTTGCCGCCGCGATCGGACGAGCTCGCGAAATGGACATTCTGCCCTGCACCCCTGGTGGGACAGATGGCAGCTGCAGCAGTCAGCCACGCCAGAGGTCGCGCGGGGCACCCATGGAACACCTTGGCGGATCGCGTTGCCAGAGAGACCTCCAGGGGCACCCTGGCTGAGACCCCCCCCCCCTCCCCGGGCTCCTTGGCCACCAGGTGCACTGTGGCGCGTGAGTGGGAATGGCTGGACTGAGAACCTCGGTGCTTTCTAGAAGCTCCCCCAAGGCTTTCAACCAACATCCCAATTGTCCCGCTTGCTACTGAGGCCACCCTGAAACGCATATCGGAGTATTTCAGGGACCCCTG